ACATGGCTGCTAGGACGCGCATCAGCCTGAACTCGGAGGATGTCGAAATCAGCATCTGCCCCAGAGTACCCAAAGTTTTCCCTCGCAATGGTGAGGCGATGATGCTCGCAGGAGTTCTCACCTGCTGAAGAATTTCTTACGGATCTTCGACTCTCGAGCCATGGCACAGGCACCTTCAGCAACAAGGTGAGAGCAATTCATTTCTTCGTTTTGGTTCTGTATTAAGTGGCTGATTCTTTCCTGCAACGGCGCAATTTGCCTACTGAAGGCAGCAGTGTTTTCAAATGGGCGAGTGCTAATCGATGATTCACGAAGACTAGAATCAAGTCTTTCCCTGTGGCAGGATATTTGGGCCATTTGTCTGCCCCTTCATCTGACACCCATCAAAAGTAACCTGGTAAGTGCGCATCGAAGTTGCTGAGAATTTTGAAGCTTTCACACACTAGATCCTTCATTCCAGTGTGGTTCCATTCAGTCATTTTTCGCCGCATGAGGTATGCACTCTCGATGTCTTACTCTGGCATGCTCAGGCGGTTGATCATCCTTCCCTGCCTTCAGATTCATGGTAGATTGCTGCCTGCCGTCATCTACCTGCCTACCTTCATCATCACCGTCTTGTATCTGCGCCATCGCCTGCTTCAACATAATCAAGCCGACCCACTACGCATTGATGCATTGCAAGCACTGGTCTACATCTTTCAAGGCCAGCATCGAGTCTAGCAAGGTTTGCGGACATCTTGAGGAGGAGAGCTGTCCTGTACCATTACTCGGACATCTTATAGTGCTTGTAACTACATCTGAGATTCACCAGTAGTGCTACTGCTATATGATCCGCTGGTTGCCATGGCCAATGATTCGCAGCGCAAGCAGTGGTCGGTGAGCTGGGTGGTCGAGGATCATAGAGCGAACGAGTCACATGAGAATCTGTGTGAAATGAGATGGGAATGAATATTGCGACTGGCAAATGCAATCGTTTGATATCGCAGCGGCAACGGACCTGACAAAAATCACACGGATCTGGAGGTTTTTGCCACATCCATCGTCGACATAATCTGCCATTTTCTGCAGCGCATGCTTAGTTGGGACCATCAGAACGTCGAATGATGACCAAAAGGGTGAAATATGAGACTCTGATGCTTAGGGGGTGGAGGTAGTTTGGATATGACGAACTAGTTTGTTTGGCTTGGTGCCGTGAGGGGAAAGATATGACGAACGAGTTTGTTTGGCTTGGTGCCATGGTGGGGAAGATATGACGAGCAAGTTTGTTGGGCTCAATGAGGCGGGCGGGGGGAAGACATGACCAATGAGTTTGTGGGGTCAATGAGGCAGGGGGGAAGATATAACGAAGGAGTTCGTGGGCTCAATGAGGCGGGGGGGAAGATATCACGAAGGAGTTCGTGGGTTCAACGAGGCGGGGGGGAAGATATCACGAAGGAGTTCGTGGGCTCAACGAGGCGGGGGGGAAGATATCACGAAGGAGTTCGGGGGTTCAATGAGGGCGGGGGGGGGGAAGATATCACGAAGGAGTTCGTGGGCTCAACGAGGTGGAAGGGGAAGATATGAAGAACAAGTTTGTTTTGCTTGGTGCTGTGGTATGGTAAGGGTAGGGAAGATATGACCGACAAGTTTGTGGGCTCGATGAGGGAGGGGGGGGGGGGGGAAGATATGATGAACGAGTTTGTGGGCTTCCCCGCCTGAGTACGGAGAAGCAGGGACGCTTTCCTCATATGGGACGGAGGAGTCCCTGCCTGAGAACGGAGAAGCAGGGACGCTTTCCTGATATGGGACGGAGGAGTCCCTGCGTGAGAACAGGGACGGAGGGACGCTTTCCTGATATGGGACGGAGGAGTCCCTGCCTGGGAACGGAGAAGCAGGGACGCCTTCCTGATATGGTACGGAGGAGTCCCTGCCTGAGAACGGAGAAGCAGGGACGCTTCCTGATATGGGGGCGTGGGAACAGGGACGGCAACAGGCTTGGCAGGGCAGCGGGACGGGGACGGAGGCGACTGCAGGGGTGCGGTCTCGGGAAACATATAGATAGTATATCAAAGCAAAACACAAGGCACATAAACATGATGGTCATTCTACCTCAAACACTTCAAGAAGCGAAATTTGTTGTTCATATCGGTGATAATATTAGACTCATGCAGGGTGACATCAACGGAAAATCATCCCAGAAGTGAAAATTAAAATACATGAGTGAGGGAGGGAGAAGCAAGAAAGAGAATTTTTTGGTTCAAGTTGACCGCATTTTTGCTTATATAATCATTGTCACATCAGGCCACAATAATAAAGCCACATCTTATCATAAGAAATATTCGATGAAACAGCACATTTTGTGCATATGATCAGCGTCAATCAAACGAAAGCTATATATTGTAATTGGAAGATGCTTGTTGAAATTTTTGCAAGTTGGCTTATTAGAAGCAAATAACCAACATTGATATGCTGCCTCCCTCTCTAAGATTGATTTTCCAGCCATCATATGACATGTATGACTGTATCTTGAACTTGTTCCTGAGGTTATTGAACCATCTAAATCGAGTGGGCATGCCCATTTCATGTGTAAAAATCATGTTTCAAATTTGAACACCCCTGTCATGCTGCCTTACCCTCTAAGATCGATTTTTCAGCCTTCACATGACTTGCCTGGCTCAAGATAGGACTTGTTCTAGAAGTTATTGAGCCTCCTGAATCTGATAGCAGCATCTGTTTGGTGCGAAAAAATCATGTTCCAAAGTCATGAGTTATCAAGTCCTGTTGTGCTGAGGCCCTCACCCAAAGTCAATTTTGTCAGCCTTTGCATGACTTGCATAGCTTGATCTCAGGCTTATTTCTGAAGCCATAGACCAGTAGGAGCAACAATTTGATATGGCAAAGTCATGTTGTTGCAAAGTTGCCCACCTATGGTCAAGTTGACCGCTTTTGCTTATGTAAGCAATGTCACCCCTGTTATGCTGCCTCAACCCAATGATTGATTTTTTGAGCTTTCATATGACTTGCTTGGCTTCAAATAGAACTTGTTTCTGGGGTTATTTGGCCGTCTGAATCTGATGGGAACACTGGTTTGGTCCGAAAAAATCATATTTCAGAGTGATGCTACCCCCTCCCCCTACCTACTACCTACTGTGCCCAGAGGCAGGATTCCATGTCGATACTGATGTATCAAAGGATGTTCCTAGTGTTTTGTATCATATTAAGTGATTGGAGATGGTCTCAGAGTCATCCGGGCCCATGTGAATTGTGATGTGTCAGTTTGCCTGATGCCCCCCCCCACAAAGATCGATTTTTCTAGGCTTCCCATGACTTGTCAGTCCTTCAGGAGCATCCTTCCTGGGGTTATTGAACCCTCTGAACATGATGGTCAAGCCAGATTTGCCAGAAAAAATCATGTTCTTGAGATATGCAAGGTCCCCCTCCCCCTCCTATCTCATATATCTTCATATTATGTGAATACTGATATATCAAAGGATGTTCCTAGTGTTTATGATCACAGGAATCGATTGGAGATGGTCCCAGATTATTTCTAGCCTGTTTGAATTGAAATATGTCAGTTTTGCCTCATACCCCCCACAAAGATCGATTTTTACAGACTTCCCATGACTTGCCAGTGCTACAAAAGCATTTTTCCTGGGGGTTCTTGATCCACCTGAACACGATGGTCGAGCCAGATTTCCCAGAAAAAATCGCGTTCTTGAGATATACAAGGTCCTCCCCCCCCCCTCCTACCTCCTATATTTTGCTGTGCTTGAATTTAACTTAAGACCGATACTGTAAAGGCCTGTCCTAGTGTTTTCTAGGTGTAGGAATCGATTGGTGATGATCCTGGACCACCTGGAGATCAATATTGGTGACATATGGTGGTGGGGCCAAAACGTCAGTATTTTGGCCATATCTCCACAACCCAACCGCCGATTTCTTTAATTGTTGGCTCATATCATTCCTAGAAGTACCCTCCATGATATGTACCAGCCCATGAAAAGAAATTTTTTCACAAGTTTGAAACCTATTTCTGAAATGACCATATAAATGTATAAAAGGGTGTTCCCAATGTTTTATGATCATATTAATTGATTAGAGATGGTTTCAGAGTCATTTTGGCCTGTGTGAATTGTGATGTGTCAACTTGTCTGATACCCCCACGCAAAGATCTATTTTTCTAGACCTCCCATGACTTGCCAGTCCTCCAGGAGTATTCTTCCTGGGGGTTATTTATCCCTCTGAACATGATGGTCAAGCCAGATTTGCCAGAAAAAATCATGTTCTTGAGATATGCAAGGTCCCCCTCCCACACCTGTAGCATATATCTTGATATTATGTAAATACCGATATATCAAAGGGTGTTCCTAGTGTTTTATAATCACATAAATCGATTGGAGATGGTCCCAGAGTATTTCCAGCATGTCTGAATAGAGATTATGTCAGTTTTTCCTGATACCCCCAAAAAGATCGATTTTACAGACTTCCCATGACTTGCCAGTACTACAGGAGTATGTGTCATGGGGGCTCCTGACCCATCGGATCATGATGGTGTAGTCCGTTTTCCCCTGGAAAAATCATGTTCTTGAGATATGCAAGGTCCTCCTCCCCCCTCCTGCCTCATATATCTTGCTGTGCTTGATTTTAACTTGAGGCTGATACTAAAAATGGCTGTCCTAGGGTTTATGAAGTGTAGGAATCGATTGGTAATGGTCCTGGACCATATGGAAGACATCTATACTGAGATAATATTAAAATACAGTAGATAGGTCAAAAAGTCAGTATTTCGACCATATCTCCACAACCCAACCGCCGATTTCTTTAATTCTTGGCTCATATCAATCCTGGAAGTACCCTCTATGATATTTACCAGGCCAGAAAAAGAAGTTTTTCAAAAGTTTGAAACCTATTTCAGTTTTGACCATATAAATGATTCCATTCCGGAATTTGGTGGACTGCCGCAACAACTGAGCCATAGTCATCAGGTGCGACGTTCTTTCCGAATTGTATGACGAGAGGGATTAGGGTTGCTGCTGAGGCACCGCTGAACTCGAGTGCAGAGTAATCTTGTCGAATATCCTGAGGGGTTGAAGATATGTATCCTGGAAATTATATGCAGCCTCGAGACCCGCTGGTGTATTTTGGGCGGTAGACGCTGTAGATGTTGTGTGTCTCAAAGGTGGTTTGATGAGTTTTACAGCCTGTTTGGCGGTCTGAAGTGCTAATTGGGGACCGGCACCTTGTTCCACACCAGAGGGAGCATCCAGATCCTGCACGACCACAAGAATTCAGAGAGAGAGCAGAAACTAAAAGGCGACCTACTTTGATATTCGGCATTGATGAAGCACCTTCACAATCAATGTTCGAGAGAACAGGGTCATGGCTGCTTGAATCCTTCGAGTGCTTTTGTATAATTAGATGAGCCTTATTCCAGGAAACTCAGGATCCTTGTCGACTCACAGAAATCCATTTAGTTGCATTCTTAACCTTCCCTAGAAACCGACGAATTTTGCCATGGCATCTGCCCTGGATGATATCAGAGTTAATGTTTCGAGGTGAAAGGAGAAGTAGTCCTCATCAGCAACATACCGGACTTTCACCAGCGCTTGGTTCACTGGATGTACGGTTTTTCGGGAGGTAGATTTGCCTTGAGTTCCTTGATTGATTGTGTTCACTCATCGTTTGAAATAGTTGATGTTGAGCATCAGACTGAGTGAAGGTAGGGTGAGATAAGTAGTTAGAGGAAGGGTGGGTCCCAGCTTCAGCGCTCAGCGTTTAGATAGGTCATTCCTACAACTAGTACAAGCCTCAAGGCAATATTTGCTGCTGTATTGACTGGGCGCCTCCGAACTGCGGGAAATACAAATTGAAGAAACGATTATCTTCATATTTTTATACCGTCTGCCTAGCGACTATAAAAAACGCTATGCCGATCGCGGACACGCCAGTTTGAGTGGCCTTGAAGCTTTGAAGCTCGAAGTCGAGAAAAATGCGATCATATTTGCAGCAGTTAACGGCTCGATCGCAGTGACTAGTACTAGCATTGTGGCAAGGACAGGGAAGGACCTCATCCGCAGATTGCCGCTTGAGCTTGAATTTCGACCTTGGTGCTCACACCCAGTGAAAACGGTCCTAGCCATATCTACGGCAAACAACGAAAATATTAGTTATATACCAATAATATTGCGATAACTACGCAAATCGATAAATTAAAAGTGCGGTTGATCCATTGAGCAAAGATCCGTTGAACATTGGTTGAACATGCTGAAATTTTTTCAACTTTGACTTGACTTTGCTCAATATTTGAATGTTTGAACATTCTTGCGCATCAGCTGCGCACGCACCATCACTTCATGCGATGACGTCGATATGCAGTGGACCACTTATGATATATATTGGGACATTCCATCCATACTCGGTTCACCTCAGCTTTCTTCTTCCCTTCCATCATCTCGTCCTCCTCTCAGCAAAATCTCGCTGTTGACCTCAACCATCCTGGTACCGTCTGATGCATGATTTTCTCGCTTAGCCACTGCACTAACAAGATAAGTACTAGACCTTTTCACGGCCCAATCCATCTGCTGATCCCACCCAATCGACCGTAGTCATCCAAGTAAGTGCTATTTACGGCGCATATATGCACACATTTCAAACATTGTGAGTTATCTGACATTGTCAGGTTCATTCACTGACTGTTTTACATCATCGCTAGCTCACTACCATTGTCCCGATTATCAACACGTCCAGCGGCTTCAACAGATACACCGTTACAAGACAGTCGATTGGTAAGTTCCATTAAAAGCTACCCAATATACTTCAACTGATATCTATTGCCATAGAAACACGAGAACGAGGCAGTTGTCATTGTAAGTACTGTCTGCTTGCCTGGCAAGCACATCTAACAATGATTTGTTTCAGTTAAGGACTCCCATGTACCAGAAGCTGATGGGCTACGTCATCCTGACGCATGGGTGGGGGTGCCAGTGGTATATAGAGTACACTTTTATTGCATTTGTAATTCTTTCACAATACAATTGTTTTTGGTCGATTTGGGTTGATGTGCGAATATGCAAAAGGTCAATTGGAGCTACTACAATATACTAGAATCTACGCTACGCAAACACGCTCGATTCTGCAATATCTCGCTCGATGCGAGTCGCTGAAAATATCATATAAGTCTCATCCGTCTCCGCAAATCAATGCAAATATTGTCGTGATATTTCGGTCGTTTTCCGTCGATACGGCTAGGACCGTTTCTCACTGGGGCTCAAGGGCAACGCGAGGTATCCAGGCATCCTGGAGGTGAGGCACGCACCGAGCAGCCTGGCGGGAGGGCAATGAGGTAAGATATTATTTTTAGAACTGGAGGTGAACCACGCGAGCAGCCTGGCAGGAGGGCAACGAGGTATGATACTATTTTTAGAACAGATCCTAAATTACATTGGAAAATCATGGGCCTTTCAGGCTAGTTTCCCATAACATAGAAACCCGGCCTGAAAGCCTACCTTTTGCCTCCGAAAACTGCTGCCTGAGGTGCCAGTTGCGGCAGTGGGGAAGCATTTGAATATTGCAGGTTCACTTCGGTTGTACATAGCAGAGCATCAGGAAAAACCTCCCGGCCAAAATTTTGATAATCTTTGATAAAATCCAAGAATTAGCTCTAATTAGCAGCCTTAGGAGAATTAGGAAGATTATATAGTTTAGAAGGACTTTTTTACCCCCTCCTCAGTGTTGGATAATTATCAAGATTTAGCTGATACTAGACATAATTGTGGTGAATTGCAGAAGCCGTTATTACAAATGTTGGTTCACAGATCACGCGTCCCAGGCAATGTTACAAGAACAAAAGACTAATATTGGATTAAAAGATGTGTTTAAGTAATCGCGAAACAGCTGATGACGAGGGTACGAGGAATTTAGGTACAATCACTAATGAATGCGGAATATACAGTAATGGATCAGAACCTAATCGTCGGCCATGCCATCCAGGTCGAGTAGCGACAGAGCATTTCGATGCTCACTGGCGAGATGATCATTGCCCTTCAGTTTCAAAGCCCTTCGAGTAGCGTCAGTATCCGGCATGTCAAAACGGCACCATCCACACCAGCAAAACTTACTGCCATTCCCACACCAGATTCCACTGGTATCCTCGACAACTATGATGAATTAAATGCGCTCGTCGATGCGTTCACGTACTACATGAATGAGCATGACAAAGCGGCTCGACAGAAACGAGGAGGCGCGTGGTGAAGGCACAATGCCCAGGGTGGAGAGATGCGGAGAGGAGGACAAGATGCCGAAAGGAGGAGAAGACGCAGAGAGGAGGACGAGACACTGACTAGACGCCGAAAGGAGGACGAGACACTGAGAGCAGTGAGCGAGAGAATGAAAGACGAGAAAAAAATAAATAGAAGACTTACTGAGGATAATTTTGGGGCAAGGCTATAAGGTTAACTGTGAGGGTAGGCTGCACCAGGGCAAACACATTAGTACAATACAATGAACAAAATAAAGGACACACCTGGAGGCATGCGAGATGATGTGTGGCATCATGATGGTGGAAGGTTGAGAACGAAGTCGTTGAACTTGTAAGAAAAATTGATGTTTAAACGTGACACGTGAGACCGTGTGAAAAATGACGTGGTCAATTGTTGTTCAAGCAAAAGTCGTTTGCCACTGTTCAAACGTGCATGCTCGCCGTTGCCCGCCATTCGCAGCTTGTGAGTGTGTCAATCCTCGTTCGAGCTCGGGCCATGTTGATCCAAGTCGTTGCCCGCCATTTACAGGAAGTGAGTGTGTGATCCCACTTCGAGCAAGAGCCATGCCGATCGAAGTCGTTGCCTGCCAGTTGCTGTTTGTGAGTCTGCTGATCTCATTATTGTGTTGCTATTACTGACATACATTGTACCTATATCGAATGGTTCTCGCCGTTTCTGTTGGCTCCCGATCGACACCACGGCCTTTACAAGGTCTCGCATTCCTTGCTTGGTGGCGCAAAAGTGGCAAGCATTGTGCCATTGTCGAAGATCGTGCGGAGTGCCCATCTTCTACCGAATTTCGGTGCCGTCGTCCTGCGAGAGTGGTCGAGTGATACAGTTCTAGATGACTGTAACACTTTTTGGTTGAACTCGTATCTAGATAGATACACTTACTGTATTTTTCAAATAAGTCTCGATAATTCCATTGTAATTATCGTCTTTTAGCCGTTTTATTCCTAAAACTTGAAATTAGATAGAATTATCAGAATAACATCGTTTAGCGCAAATTATTACAATTTTTGCCCAGGAGGCTTTTCCTGATGAGCCGTGGGTCCGTGACATATGTCATAGCTACACGAGGCAATTACTAAATGCAAGATTCTCATTTAGTCCACATTCTACATGCGGGTACGTAGTACTTCCATCGATTAGAGTCTTCTAGGCACTTACGTCATTACTGAGGGACTTGCAAGTTAGAATCTTCACCTCGTGGCAACACCACCAGCACTGATATGGTCTTGTGACTCGGACTTGGCAGTCCTTTGTCAGATCTTGATTTGCCGCTTGTCTACTTATACATGAACATATTCCTACTGCCAGTGGCGCAGGTTTGCTGGAACGAATACGATTCTGCGACATCAATCACCACAGTAAGCCCATCAATTTCATGGAATTTTGCACTATGAATTCTACACAGAAGACGCCACATTCTTTTCCCGAGCGGAGCATAAGTAGTTTGTGCATCACTGACTAGAAGCACCTATCTGCTTAGGTTTGTGGGGTGGCCTCGAGGTATCCACCATCCGTTTATTTCTTGGTCTGACACTATTTCTATCTAGAATACTCGGGAACTTCTCATATCAGGGTTAATTAGCCACGCCAAATCACTCCCTGGGATCTGCAGATCACTCACACCAGACCTCGAGGCTGACACGAACAGTATGCCCTGCTACCCCTATATTAGATTAATGTCCGTCAAACGTTGTAGGTGAGATGGTGAACAGATAAACATCCATGCGGTCTCTGCCATGAGGTATAAGACGGTGTGAGCAACTTGTGCGATATTCATCCAGTTACGCAAGAAATGCTTCCCCGTCAGCCATATCATGGATCAGTCCGCAAATTGGTCCTTGCCTTCGACGTGGGCACTACATACAGTGCAATTTCCTACTGTATACTTGAGCCTGGAGAAGTTCCAAAGATCAAGTCTGTCACCAGGTCAGTTTTCATAATATAACATACCTGCCTTATTGCAGATCATTACGAATATCAGATATCCAGCCCAAGAGTACAGCGGAAGGAAATTAAAGATACCCTCTATACTCTACTACGATTCAAATGGAACTATCCGTGCTATTGGCGCTGAAGCACAGCAGGGAGCATATCATCGAAAGGGCCGAGGAAGAAGGATGGATAAAGCTAGAATGGTTTGTTTCGCAAATACTGGAATTATATTTACTTAACTGACCACGCAAAACATTTAGGTGGAAATTGCACCTTCGGCCCAGGACTTTGGCCGCCAACCATATCAATGACGACGACATCCCACCACTTCCGCCAGGCAAAAAGGCCACTGAGGTGCTTGGCGACTTCATGCAATACCTCTTTCGTTGTGCACGCAGCTATATTGAGGAGACTCATCCGAGCGGATCTAATCTTTGGCGGTCACTCGAGAGCTGCATCGAATTTGTCCTTACACAT